CAGGGATCAGGTTCAATGTGAACATCACCTACAGTGTGAACCTTTGCATCTCCCCATGGCAGAGATGCAGTGAACCGATTCTTCAAGACCTGACATGCCTTGGTAAAGTGGCCATAAGGGTTCTGTTGCCTTTCTAGAAACTCATCTTTAAGGGAAAATCCTTGATGGCATTGGGCAGCCATTGTCAGGACTTGGAATGCAGAACGGTTGCCAGGACATGATAACTGGCACAGAGAATGGTCTGAGAGAAGAGACTGAATTAAAGAAGCTGAATGAATTGGAGAAGCCTGCAAAGGAGACAGTTGACCAAGTAGGTAGGTAAATAAAGAGCTCAAGTTATTCAGTAGGATTTTCTGGCCAAGGACTTATAATCTGAAATTCCCTGCTAGCTTGACAGAAGAAAGCAACAACTGAACAATTAAAGGAATGATTTACAAACCAGTTCAGCCCCCAAATTTCAAACATGAAAGACTAAAAAGAAAGAGAATGGGGAAGAAGACTCAAGTGTTCCTAGCTGACCACTGACCACCACCACAGAGCACAGCAACTGTCAGGAGATGAAAAGGCTTCAGTTCAGGAGCTTGGTCTGGGACTGTGTTAAAGCAGAGGAGGGCTGTGCTGCCCCTAAGAAACAAGTACCTCCAGCCCTGTCCTTCCTGGAATAGAAGGTGGCTGACAGTCAACTGCCACTTTGACAGTTCTGTACCTGTTTTCTACAAAAAAGCATTGTCTTTGCAAACTTAAGCAGAGCTCCTGTCAGTTTTTCATGGTGTTCTTCCTTGTTACCCTGTTCAGCAGCCTCAGCCTGTCCAGAGTGCCTTCCTTGACTTAGCTATGCTAGTATTTTTGACTTTTGGGGGATTTCCTTGCAGAGGTGAGAACTCCAGAGTATCCTTGGACAGACCCACATTCACAGGCTACCCTGGTCATCAGACACAACAGGATCATTTATTCTCCTGTGATCCTCTAGTTCCCTAAATGTTAACCAAAAAGCACCAGGAAGAATGGTCCAGGCAAAGGAGGTGAAGAATGACTCAAAACAGGTGTTTGGCACTAATGTTCAAGCATCCTTTGCTAGGACCTATTTCCCATCTGGTTAGCTGGATTACTGGCTCACAGAGCCTGTCCTTATGTTCTACCAATCCTGCCCAGCCAGAGGTCATGGGAGCTCAGGGTGCTTCTCCCAGGGCTTGCCTGCGCTCCATGCTTAAACTTCCTGCTTGTCCCCAAGCAAATCTCTGCAGGGTTGAACCCAGAGCTGCATACATCTCTTGAAACTAGTCCAGAAGCATGGCTTGGGTAGCACAAAGAAGAGAGCCAGCATAAAGAATCCAGGATGGAGCCGGGCTCGGTGGCTCAGCCTGTAATCCCGCGCCTTTGGGAGGCTGAGGTGAGTGGATTGCCTGAGACCGCGAGTTCAAGACCTGCTTGGGCAGCGAGACCTCATCTCTACAATAAATCAAAAAATCAGCTGGGCGTGGTAGTGCATGCCTGTAATTCCGGCTACTTGGAAGGCTGAGGCGGAAGGATCGCCGGAGCCCAGCAGGTCGAGGCTGCGGTGGCCGGGAGCGGCCACTGCACTCCAGTCTGGGTGACAGAGTGAGACTCCAACTCAAGAAAAAAAAAAAGAATCCAGGATGGGCCAGGTATGGTGGCTCATACCTATAATCCCAGCACTTTGGGAGGTCGAGGTGAGAAGACTGCCTGGGTAACATGGCAAAACCTCATCTCTGCAATAAAATAAATAAATTAGCAGGGCATGGTGGTGCATGCCTATAGTCCCAGCTACTAGGGAAGCTGAGGCAGAAAGATCATCTGAGCCCAGCAGATTGAGGGTGCAGTAGCCATGATGTGCCACTGAACTCTAGCCTGGGTGACAGAGTTAGGCCACAACTCAAAAAAAAAAAAGAAAAAGAAAAGAAACTAGGGCGGTACTGAAGTCAATCTCATACTTCTCAGAAGAGACATGCTTCCTTCAATGGCATTTCTGTTTACTATTTCCTTTTCTGATTTGCATTTTCTTTAAGGGCATTTTCACCCTTTTTGTAGCCTATATTTTCCCCCTGTTCTAAAAAGACATTTTGAACTTAAGTTAGCAAGGAGAGAAGTATATATTTTTTTATTTGCCAGTACAAAAAGAATGTTTTATGGTTCTAGTTGCATTTTATTTTATTAAAGTTATTAGTGAGCCCAAGAAAGGCAGGGCCTTTGTAGTCTTGTCTTGAAACTGAGCTGCGGCCACAACTCTGTAGTCCAGTACATTGAGGGGCAGGTCTTGTAGGACAAAGCGGGAATTCCACTGAAGTCCCAGGATGTTAGTACCAAAAGTGGGGGAGCCAGAAAAGGTCATAGAGGTGAGGGTGAACAAGTGAGTGGAACTTCAAGACCACCCTGATTCTCCTGCTTCTATCAGAGTAGCTCCGTTTTATGTTTTTACTTATTAGTTCTGTGACTTAGATACATTTCAAATGAGAATAGCACCAATCTCCTCCAGCTGGTGAAGCAAAGTGACTAACTGCAGGTAAAGACACCTAGCACTGTGGGACACCCAGTGAATGTTCAAAAAAATGTTAGCTATTGTTGTGCTCAGATTCCACATTACATTTTGTTGAAGAAAGGGTTTGGAAATCACTGATTTAGTGTGTCTCCCTCATTTTTAGAAAATTGAAAAATGACTTTATTAAAAGTATACAAAAAGTATGTAAATGCATTTGTATAAGAAAATTTCAAACAAAACAAAACACCAGAGTAAAAGGGAAAAAAATCATTTCTTTGCTTCTCTACCCCACTCTCAACTAACTTCCTTCCCCAGAGACATTCACTCTTACAATTTTCAGAACTTTTCCTTTCACATAGCCATGCTTTTTGCTTTTTACATAAATGGAATCATACCATATGTACTGGGTTAGAACTTCACTTTTGCACTTAACAAAGTATCTGAGAGAATTTTTTTCCATGTTAGCACATCTAAAATCCATCCTCCATTCTAACACTTTTAAACTGCTGTATAGTATTCTGCAGTATAGATGTACCATGATTTATGTAATCATTCTTCAATGATGGACATTATAGAAATATGCCATTCTTTTGCCTTTCAGGCTGCAATTCACCTCTTTCTTTGCACATCTTTCTGTATATATACATATTTTTTTGAAGACTACGTGTTTAGATGTGAAATTATTGCTTCACGGGACATGTACATTTAAATAGTCCACTGAATTTCTTCAATGAATTGTCTGTTTGACCCTGCACTCATTTTTCTTTAAAAAAAAAAAAAAAAAAAAAAAATATATATATATATATATATATTACTCATTTTTCTAATGGGTTACTTGTCTTTTTCTTATTGGTTTTTATGATTTCTTCATATGTGCTACATACTAATTGGTTGTGTTATATAGCTTAAACTATGTTTTTTATTCCTGAATATGCTAATGGTCTCTTTTTCCAAACAGGATTTTTTTTTTCTTTTTATGTTGTCAAACTTTTCAGTACTTTTCTTTATGGCTTCTGGGTTTTATATCTTGTTTATTCTCCCTAGTACTCTGTTACTAAGGGATAGTCTATTATTCTCATTTAACAGAGAAAGCAAATCACTAAGTTACAGCAGAATCAAGCTAAATCATATTGTTTCTCTATTGTTACCAATTGTTAAAAGAAAAAAAATAAGCCGGGCTCGGTGGCTCAGCCTGTAATCCCGCGCCTTTGGGAGGCTGAGGTGAGTGGATTGCCTGAGCCCGCGGGTTCGAGG